TCAAAATATTCCCCAAAACAAAAAAAGCCAAAAAAACACATAACAAAAGAAAAAAAGGGGGGGGGGGATTTCCCCCTACAAAACAAAACCACGGTCATGATGCAGAGTGGACGCAGCGGACGGAATGAGCGACGGCTGGGAAGAGTCGGACTGACCAAGTGGGTGGCAGAGGTATCTGGCCTGCCGGTGTCGTCCTTTGCTGACTTGGCGGATGGTCGTGCCTTTCTGGCCATTCTCGCCCATGTCTTTCCCCGTCGGGTCTCGCTTGCGGTCGCTGCAGACAACGCCTCATCGTCAAAGGGCATTTCAAAGAACTTTGCTCTCATTCGGGAACTCGTTGCCACCGCTCGGATACCCTTTAACGATGCCGATGTCATCCCTCTGCTCAATGGCAGCTTCAAGGCAACTCTTGAGTTCCTCCAGGCGCTGCACACAACTTGGCCTGATCTCCCGCCGCGGAGCGCCAGTGCGTCCGGTCCGTCGCAAGCCGGCGAGGCTCACTCGCCCGCGAAAGCGCTACTGACAGGTTCGCGGGTGGCACGCCGCGGCGGCGCACGTAGACTGCCGCCAGGATCGGCATCGCCCCGCCGCCCGCGTGGCACCCTCTCGGCACCGGCCCACAAAGGTACCCGCCTGCGGCGTAGACCCGGACGGGCCGGGACGGCGCTGCCGGCGCTGCGCTCGCCGGAGCGAGCTGTCTCGCGCGCTGAGGGCGAGAAGCAGCCGCTGCTACCGCCGATTGCCCACGCACCTCGCGCGACGTACTCGGCGCCGCGCTCCCGATTCAACGCCGCTGTCCGCTGGCTCCTCCAGGCCATTCTCCACACACCGGAGCTGAACGACGTGGCCGCGCCGCATCTTGGCGCGCTCCGCACCGGCCTCCTTGTGGCTTCGTCCGACGACGCCGGGCGCAACGCCGAGAGCCAGAACCTGCTGCGGTCGGGCGTGGCCTACCGGCTGGGCATGCTCGCGCTGTTTGATGAAGACTTGCTAGTTGACGACGGCCGCGCGAGCGGTGCGCCCGGCGAGCCCGTCCCCGAGCACGCCGTCGTTGTCCACCGTGCTCTGTTGCGTGCCATCTACGAGCGCGGCGGCGAGGCCGAGTCGCTCGACCCGCACATCCTTGCCTCAAACAAGCCGTTCTCGCGGTCGGCGCACTCAGCGCTTCTTGCATCGCTCATGGTGCTCTACGTCGAAGCTGTCCTCGACCTTGACGCCGTAGTGGACCACGTGCGGACGGTGACGGCCACCTTTGATCCCATATCCGAGGTCCCGTACTCGGCCGAGCAAGCTGTCCTCATGTGGCTGTCCAAGGCGGCGGCGGCGGCGGCGGAGCACACAGCGTCGCTGGCGGCGAGCTCGGCATCTCTGCCGCAGCCAATCGCGCCTCCTGCGCCTGTCCGCAACGCGTCAACCGACCTCGCCGACGGCAAGGTCCTCAGCCTCGCCCTGGCCTACTACACGCCGACAGTGGTGCCGGTGTGGAACGTGGCTACCGGATTGGAGCTGAGCCTCTCGGACGCTTTTGCCAACCTCGAGCTCGTGCGTCAAGGCGCCGATGCGCTCGGCGTGGCTCTCCCGTTTGCACCCGAGGACATTGTCTACGCCGACGAGGCGCTCGAGCCGCTCATCATGGTCTGGCTGGTCGATGTCTTTGAGGCGGCGGCGGCTCTCGACCCGCGGTCGCGACTCTCGTACATCTCGCGGGCGGCGGCGTCACGGACCGGCAGCTCGGTGCGGCTGACGTCCGAGCTCGACGCGCTCGGCTCAGCAACAGCCGTGGTCGTGCCGTCGCGGCGCGGCCCGCGGATTACCCCGCTCGCCCACGTCGACGACGGCATGGACGACTTTGAGCTGCTGGAGCAGCAGCTGGCTTCCGGCGCTGAGCTGGATGCAAGCGCCGCCGACGACAGCGAGGGCCAGCTCTCACCCGAGGACGCCCAGCTGCTGGTCAACACCAAGCACAACATGTATGCTCTCGAGCCCGAGCCGGTCGACGCCGTCGACTGGAGTGCGTCTGAGGACGGCACAGCCACCCCAAGCGAGCGCGAGCCACGAGTCCGCTTTGTCGACGCGCCGCCGTCGCCCGGCCCGGCGCCGCGCGCAGAGTCGCTGGCTCCGACAGAGCTGCCACCGCTCCAGCGCTCGCCGTCCCCCAAATTGCCACTCCAGCGCTCGCCGTCACCCAGTACCTCTTCGCCGCCACTGGCTACGTCGACGCCACTGGGCAAGACTGCAGCCGAGGGCAACGAGCACGGCAGCGACGCCGACGAGGCCTGGACACCACGGCCGACGTCTGCGTCGTCGACGTCGTCGCGGTCATCGCTCACGCTGCTCGACGTGGTCGAGGCGCGCCGCGCGGCGTCGCCGGTGCCCGGCCGGCTGCGAACGCCACTTTACTCGCCGCATGCACCGCCGACGTCTCGCCTCGCCGATGAGCGCTCGCCACACGGCTCGCTAGACTTGACCGATGAGGGGCCGTCGTCTGACACCGCAGCTGACGCCGAGTCGGCACCGAGCCCAGCGACACCAGCATCGTCGTTTGCTGCCCCACTGTCGCTCCCAGGCGGGTATGCGTCGTCGAGCTCATCGTCGGATGGTGGCGAGCGGCCGTACAGCCCCGACGGGCCGCGTGGCCACTACGACGACCCGTTTGATGCCGAGACGCCACGGACGCCGCTTGAGCGGCCGACGACCGCTCCGTCAGGCTCCCCAAGCCAGAACCAGAGCCAGACGGCTCGGCTTGCGGCGCTGGAGCGGGAGCGAAAGCTGATGCGGATCGAGCTGGAGCGACAGCGACGTGAGATTGACGAGGCGCGGGCAGCCAAGAAGTTGCAGCGGACGGCTGCACGCAAGCAGGCCGGGCGCCGAGCTGTCTTTGCACACCGCGAGAGCGCAGCGGGGCAGTCGCGGTCGCCGCTGCAGGCAGCCGCCCTGCCTGTAGCGTCACCTCAACCCGAGCCCGAGCCCGAGCCGGAGTCGCCGGCGCCACCGACTGCCGCCGAGCTGGAGATCGAGCGGCTGCGCCGCGAAGTCGAGGAGCTCAAGGCCGAGCAGCAGCGACTGCAGGTTGAGCAACTACAGAAGGAAGTAGCCTCGCTGCGGGAGCAGGTCTCGAACGCGTCGCAATTGTCGATGTTCTCGTACGCGGCGTCGACAATTGCGTCGCCGCCAGACACCGGACTTGTCGAGTCGATGCTCTCGGAGCCGGAGCCGTCGTCGCTTCCGCCGTGGTTTCTGGCTCGCGGAAACGAGCGGTCGATGACGGCCGGCCTCCCGCCGCCACCGCCGCCGCTGGTGGGCACAGGTGCGGCGATAACACCGCCAGTGCCGCATCGCGCACCGCCAGTCGACCGACCCGCCGAGGCGTCCCAACGCCCCGAGCCAGTGGCAGCCGAGCCGAACGCGACGGTGCTGGACCTGGCGTCAGACTCGGGATCAGACAACGGCGAGTGCGTCGGCGACGAGCAGCATGCGAGTATTGCCCCTCCCGAGTCGCCGCCGCGCAAGGCCGAGGCGTTTGTGGTTGCAGACGAGGCGGACAACGAGGAGGCGTTACAGGCGCGGCTTGCTGCCAAGCGCGCGGCGATGGAGCGGAAGCGCGAGTCGTTTCTGCGTAAGCGCGAGGCGCGTCGGGTGCGGCGTGAGACGAAAGCGGCAGCCAAGGCCGAGGCGGCGGCGCGGGCCAAGGCGGCCGCCGAAGCGGCAGCCAAGGCCGAGGCAGCGGCAGCGAGCGCCAAAGCGGCGGCGGCGACTCGGCTGGAGGCGCGGCGTGCGGCGCGAACCCGGACGACGGCGCCTATTGTAGCGCAGGATCTGAGCGCGCCGCTGCGCGTGGAGCCGGCGCCACTGTCGAATGCGAAAAAGGTGCGCAACGCTATTGTATCGCGACTGCTCGCAGGATACTCGTCGGCGCCACAGTGCCAGGCGGTGCTGGCGGCGATGGACAAGGCACGCGACGAGTACACCAGCTACTTGCTGCTTGTGGTGCAGCACCCGCACATCTCGTTCCGGGCGCTGTACGGCTACGACGTGGCAACCGGGCGGGTAGACAAGATTGTGGGCAAGGGGCCGGCGTCGCTGACCAACTTTAAGCACATCGGCGGGTTCTTCAAGTACGAGACCGGCTCGCGGTCGTTTGTGCAGCTGCGGACCAAGCACCTCGCGCCGACGGTGGATGCTGTTGTTATCCATCCCGACTACCTGCGCAAGCGTAAGCAGGCGCGGATGTTTGCAGCGGCCGGCAGGAGCAGCGGAGCGCAAGCGGGCGCGTCGACACCTTAACCCTCAAGCATCATCGAGTCATTCACTTTGAGACGCGCGACAACGCGTCCGAACGACCATGCCGTTGACTTCCAGGTCACCGGTCGATACTGCGCGACGCCTGCTTGGCCTGCGGCTTGAGGTGGGAGGCGCGCCCGCACGCGATGGCGGCCGACACGAGACGCCCGCCTGAAGGATGCCCGAGTTGCCGTCGCGGTGACGACGCCGACGACCGGGAAGGAGACCGTGCCAGAGTTGAACACAGCGGCCAGACGGGCAAGTGGTGGCACGCCATCTTGTACTGGGTTCTGGACGCCGCGTACGTGCTCTACGCTGACGCCATCTTGTACTGGGTTCTGGACGCCGCGTACGTGCTCTACGCTGACGCGAGCCCACGCCCTGCCATGACTCGCGTGGCTTTTCTCTACGACATCATCGACGCCCTCGCCGCCAGCGCCGCGCCGTCGCACAAGCGGAAGCGCACCTCTGCAGCAGCCGGAAGCTTCATGGTAAGCGATCGCGGCCGCGGACCTTTTGCGCCGCGTGCAGCGTCCATCTCTGCATCGTCGACTGTTTTCTGTTGTGGCCCATCAGTGGCCACAGCAGCCATTAACACATTGTACTACTCTGCTACCACGATTGATGGAGGTTGTAAAGGGTTACAGCGTCCAGCATCAGATGCCGATCCATGCGTCGGCGGCCTCGGTGCACCAGTCGCAGAGGTCGTCCCGAGCGGCGAGGGCGCGCGGCGACCAGGCTGGCACGGCGTCGGTCGGCGTGAACTGGTCGATGAACGAGATCTCCTTGTTGGGCACGTCGGGCATGTAGCCGCGGAGCCGGTGGATGTAGCCGGTAAAGGTCGATTTGCGGGTTCCGAAGAAGAGGCGGGCACGGGCGCAGACGAGCTGGTCGAGCATGGGAAAGGTGGACGACGGCGGCGGGTCGTTGAGGACCGGCAGCAAGTTATCGAGGAAAAGGACCGTCCCGGACGCAGCAGCGCGCTCCTGGACGAGTGGCTCAAAGTACTTGCGGTCGACCTCGTCGGTGGCGATGTACAGCGTCTCGCCGGGCAGCAGGTACGGAGCAACGTTGCGTGTGATCGAGTTGGCATCGATCCATGACTCTTTGAACTGAAAGTCGTTGCGTCGGACGTGGAGACATGTGAATGGTGTGGTGCCGAACGGCTTGAGTAGCGCCAGCGCAGTGTCGAACAGGTGGTCGGCGTAGCGGACGCCGTTGCGAATCGCTCGCTTGATGGCGAGCTCGAGCACCGTGTCCTCGAACCAGAAGAACCGGTAAAAGTTGCCGAGGAGACAGCGGTCAAAGTGGAGGACACGCGCCTCGTTCCACTGCGCGTTGTCGACTTCAACAAGCGGGAAATCCTCGACGTTGGCAAAGGTGATGAGCCGCATGGCCGCATTGGTCATCTCGGTCGAGGTGAGGAGCGTCGAGGTGGCGATCGACGGGCAGCGCGGCACGCAGTGGATGGCACGATAGCCGCCTCCATGTGAGGGAAGCTTGACCACATGCACACCGTCTAGGTCGACAATGCCCTCGTACTCGGAATCGACCATGCCTTGCGGGAGCCCATCATCGCCGCGCTCGCGATGAGCCAGATACGGCTTGAGCCCAAAGCTGCGCCGGAAGTCGTCCATGGTCACGACGCTGAGGCCCGGAGTAGAGGTGAGAGCGCCGAGGTCCAAGACGTCACCGATTGGAGTCCGACCAAGGAAGAGTAGATCTGGCTCTGTGGGCACCACCAGGGTGCGGCCTGTGGCCATGGCGAGCGCGGCGGCGATCTCGAGCGACATGCGCATGTTGGAGAGGCCTGCGAGGCCACCCCACGGCTCAAAGGTGAGATACTTGTCATTTGCGGGCGGAACACGTTGCGATGCGGGGATGCCTTCGTTGCCCAGCATCCAATACCGCATACCCACCGGGACATCGTCATTCGAGAGCGATGCCAGTGAGACCGGCGGCTGGCGGGGAGCAACGAGCGAGACGACAGGCCGTGTGTCGCACGAGGCGTAGAGCACGCCGAGGAAGGCTGTGAGAAGGGCGAGGACCACGAGCACGCATGCCACTGCCCGCATGAGCAGTGCGTATCCGCTTCCGGGCCGCGTGTACCGGAGCATGCAGTGGGGAGTGGCTGGCTGGCTGGCTGTGTCTGCAGCGGGAGGAGGAGTGTGGGGTGGGGAGGCTGACGACGAGTGTGCGGGGGGGAGGGGGGGAGGGGGGTGACGGGGGGGGGATGCAACAATTTTTTTTACCACTATCACCCCCCTTCTCCGCCACCTCCAAATGCGGCATGAGTGCGGGCGCCTCGCGTTACGTGGCAGGCCGGCCAGCAAGCGCAGGGAGGGCGGGCGGGGGAGGGGAGGGGACGGGCCGGGAGGGAAGGGGACGAGGCGATACTTGACTTGGACAAGGGCGAGGAGAGCAAGGAAAAGGGGAGAATGCATGCAACACCACCGCCTACGCCGCCTATGACGCCGCGGAGCATTCAGCATGCGCTCCGTGCGCGGGCGTCGGCAGGAGCGTCCAAGGTCAGGGCAAGCGCCTCGTCGGTGGTTCGGACCACGCTCTCTGTCCTCCAGCACTCGCTCTCTCTCTCGGATCGCATTGTTCATTGGCTCATTCAGTCTCGTCTGGCAAGCCGTCTCCTCCTTCCCCGCAACTGGCTCGCTATCACCTGCCTCCTGATCTTGCCCTACGTGGCTTACCTTGCTCCGTCGTCTCAGCCTGGTTGGGCTCCCCTGACTCTCAAGGTCGGCCTCACTTCGCTCGCGCTATGGCTGGCAGGCCAGCTCCTTGCTACGCTGACCTCGATCTATGTTGCCCGCCGTTGGGTCTTCATCCCCAGGCCCACCAAGGGCGCTCCGCTCACCAGCGAGCCGCTGGTCATGGTTCGTCGTAACGCCACCCGCAAGTCATGGTCGCCGAACCGGCTCAAGCCGCCGCAGGTCCTTCGATGGGACATTCTCGGCGTGGGTATGTCGTTTATGTTTGGCAAGATCACCGCTATTCCGCTCTGGCGCCCGCTCCGGGCCCCGATCTTCAGCGCATGGGCCAAGCTCTTCCACGCCAAAGTCGACGAGGCCGAGCACGCGCTCGACCACTACGCCTCGTTGCAAGATTTTTTCACCCGCGCGCTCAAGCCCGGCCTCCGCCCTGTGGCCGACTCGATCCTCACCTCGCCCGTCGACGGCACAGTGGTGGTGGTCGGCCCGGTCGAGTCGGACCGCGTCGAGCAAGTCAAGGGCGTCACGTACTCGCTGACCCAGTTTCTCGGACAGGACTCGGCGACCCTTATCGACTCGGCGTCGCTCCCGCGTGAGGCCGATGCCCATGACGACGCCCCGGGCCTCCCGCGCGAGGTTCTCGACGCACAGCGAGTCAACGACGACGACATTGCGCAGGAGGCGCTCGAGCTCCTCTCGCACTCGGACGGCTACGACTCGGCGTCATCACTGCTCTCGCTCACCTCGCACCCTGTCGAGTCGCTCCTCACCGTCATTCCCGAGTCTGAAATCACACTCGAGTCGCAGTCGGAGTTGCGGATGCGGTCGCGCGGGCCGTCGGCGCAGGCCGGCGACAACGGGCCCCGCGCCGGCTCGCCAGCCTTTGCTGGACCGGCCGGTGTCGACAGTGGGCTCGGCATCGCGCCCGAGCCCGACCTCTCCGAGCCAACGACTCGGCTGTATCACATGGTCATGTACCTCGCGCCTGGTGACTACCATCGGGTTCACTCGCCGGCCAACGTTAACTTTGACACGCTCCGGCACTTTCCGGGCACCCTCTTCCCCATCTCGCCGATTGTGGCGCGACTCATTCCGGACCTCTTTTCGCTCAACGAGCGCGTAGTCATGACCGGCGAGTGGGACTTTGGCTTTTCTCGCAGACTCTTGTTGGCGCCTACAACGTCGGCTCCATCCAGATCAACTTTGACTCGCAGACCAAGACCAACCGGCTGCTCCGCGACTTCCGCTGCCCCAACCTCGAGCTCTTCTCCTTTGGTGGCGTCGGCTGCTTTGCCTACAACCGCAACTATGAGAAGCCGATCGAACTCGCAAAGGGCGAGGAGCTGGGTCTCTTCAACCTTGGCTCCACCGTCGTTCTCGTCTTTGAAGCTCCTCTCGACTTTGAGTTCACCGTCGGCCCCGGCGACAAGGTCCGCATGGGCCAGGCCATCGGCCGCGTCTGAGAAGTACAGTAGCTACGGCAATGAAAGGAGACAAGGCTTGAGACGTGATCTGGAGCCGTGTCATGTCTGGGCAGTAGCCGCTTGTGCTTCCCGAGGCTAGACGTTGATCTGTTCAGCCGACAATCGTCTGTCTACGCATTCGCCGGATGCTGCCAGTCCACGCCCACCGACTGGCAACCATCGACCACCAGCCGCCAACCCGGGAGCCAGGGCCAAGGCCAAGCGCACCCCACCCCACCACCACCACCACCACCACCAACCACCAACCACCGCCACCGCTACCCACTAGCTAGTCAGCCACCCTTTCTCCATCTCCACCATGTCCACTGCCCGACGCAGGCGGCCACCACAGTCGCGACGGGCAGAGGGGGTGGCCAGCAACGGAAGGAGTGGTGGTGGACAGAGGCGACACGCGCTGCGGAAACTGCCCAAGTTTACAGCAGGCCACACACGGCTATCTACTCATGGATCATCCATTTCAACACGATTGAGGATTGCCATGGCTCGGACTCAAGTCAGTGTACCAAACCATCAGCAGGAGGGGAGGGCCAGGCGAGGTGGTCCTCTCGGATCAAGTCAACGTGGTCTGCCTCTGGCTCCACCTCCGCCTGTCATCGATCTGGCGCCATCTCCGCCACCACCGGCGTCAGACGCATCGAGTGATAGTGGACGTCCGGTCGTGACACACTCGTCAAGTCACTTGCTCTCGGCACCAGGAACGTCAGATGACACGCTGCCGTCGCTCTCGATGTCGTTGCGGAGATCGTACTCGCTGTCAAACACCGATGAGGTGTTCTACCTGCCAGACCCCAAGGCTCTGCCAACTTACGACACCGCCCACCAGGCCATCGACCGCAAGACTGCCATTCCGTCCGGCCCGGTAGCGTCAGCCAAGCCGCAGCCACAGCCGAGTGGACATCGGTCAATATCTGCGGACCACAGCCTGGCCGGGACCCGGTCGCGGCTTCACGGTGCGGCCGCGCACTCGCACTCTCACGGACGGATCCAGCTGGCGAAAGCCATTCGTGGGGCGCGGGCGTCGTCGACAAGGCCCAAGTTTGTGCGCGAGCTCGAGCGGTTCATTGCGTCCGAGCTGGCGGCGCTTAAGGATGCCACCGGGACCGAGGCCGAGCCGGTGTACATTGCGCGCGAGCGGGTCCAGATCTTCCGCGAGGTCTTTGCGCTCCTCATCGAGGAGTTTGACGTCTACAAGTCCCTCCTCGCCACCATCAAGTCCGAGTACGAGGCGGCACTGAGCACGGTCTCGCGCGAGGTCGACGCCCTGCGCCCGATGCGTCCGGCGCTCGCCACGCTCAAGCGCGAGACTACCGACGAGGTGGCGCGTCTGCAGGACGAACATGCCCGGGTGGTGGCCCAGCTCAAGGCCCAGCGGACGGCGATGCAGGAGCACATGGCCAAGCAGCGTGCGCAGCTCGAGGCCGAACAGGCAGAAAAGGCCGCCCTCCACGACCGCTTGCTCACCGCGGAGACGCTCACTCAGCACAAGTCTCAGATGCACAAGCTCCTCTACGATCGCATCCATGCCAAGGACGCAGAGCTCGCAGTGGCGCTCTCGGCGCATCGCGACATCTCGGCCAAGTACGCGGCGTCAAAGAAGCGACTCGAGGACGTTCTCTTTGAGTTGCGCCAGACCGAGGATGACTTGGTCATCCTCCGCAAGTCGCTGCAGGAGATGCGGCCGGCGGCCGAGGTGGCGGCGCTAGAAGAAGCTGCCGCCGCCGACGCGGCAACCATTGCCTCCCTCGAAGCCGCGCTGTCTGCGGCCGAGGAGCAGCTCCGCATGGCCCGAGCCCAGAGCTCGCGGGCCGAGGCGGCAGCTGCCGGCGGCGGCGAAGCCGGCACCGCTGTTTCCAGCGGACAGGCAACGCCTTTGGGCGAGCGCTCGATCTCGGGCCCACACGGCTTGCAAGGTGTCTGGGGCCATAGCGGCTCAGCCGGCGACGTCGACTCTGGTCGGGCCGCGGCGCTGTGGGCGATTTGGTCGTCAGACTTTGCGCTGCTCTCGCACACCAACCAGCTCGCGCTGCGGCGGATGGTTGCCGCGGGCGCTAGTGTCGACGAGGTTGTCGCGGTCCTCATGCAGGGCCTGGTCGAGCTGGAGCGCCGGTCCGGTGTCCGGGCCCGGATCCCCGAAGCCGAGACCGATCTCGATCGGACCGAGCTGGCAGCGCGGATGCGGCAGTCGCAGCCGGGCGAGTTTCCTGCACCGGGCACCGGGCCGAACGTGCCGACATATCGCGCCACCGACGCACCGGTCCCCAACCTGCAGTTTGGCAAGCGCAAGACCGAGGATATGATTGCGGCCATCTGGGCGGCGCGGGACGAGAGTAAGAGCGGAGTCGACCTCGAGACCTTCCTCACCCAGTGGTCACACAAGCGGTACGGTCCACGAGCGGCGCTCATGATGATCAACCTCGAAGAGGCGTGTCTGGTGTGGTCAGCCGACCCGGACTGCGCACTGTACCTGGCCATCATCCACAACGCCGTGCCCGAGTCTGTCCGCCACGATGAGGCATCCGAGGTCGACACCGTCATCGCCCATCTCCGTGACGCCGACGCTGCCGTCAACGGCGGGCGGGCCAAGGGCAAGCTCCTGCTCACCCAGATGGTCAAGGCCCTTCTGTCGGCCTTCCCGACAAGACTGATGCCCAGCTCGACGCCCTCGTTGGAGAGCTCAAGTACGGCCTCACCCGCGGCTTTGGCGTCCGCACCGGCAACAACTCTCCGAACCCACCCATCCGCTACGAGGCCCTCTTTGAGGATGACAAGTTTGCCTCACAATCGCCCTTTGCTGAAGAGCTCCGCCACCAGCATCTCGAGGCAGCGCTCCAGCGCGACACATCCCCTCCGACCTCACCATCCACTAACGATGCCATCCAGTAGCGATGCCATCCAGTAGCGATGCCATGTAGCGACACAAATGCAGTACCGATAGATGCACACCGATTGCCATGACTGCTGCAGTCAGTGGTAGTCAGCAGCTGGCCGGCCAGCTCCTTTGCCGCCCGTCGGCTGTAGCCAAGCTAGCGAGAGCAAGAGGTGGAGCCACTTGACGCCGACACGCGGGACTCAGTAATCGACGGAGCCATGTCCGAGACGAACAGTACAGGCACAGGAGGCGGGAACAGTGGAAGTGGTACCGGACAAGGGGGCGAGGGCAGTGGTACCATGGACGTGCCCGCCATGTCCAGCCCCACCGGGTCCAGCCCAACCAGGTCGTCGACAGCAACGACGACGACAGCGACGACAGCAACGACGGCGACAACATCGACCAGTTTGACCAGGACGGGAACAGGGGCGGCCGGAGGAGGAGCGGGGGGAGGGAGCTTTGCAGGGAGTGTGCTGAAGGATGGCGTGTTTGTGGATCCGTCTGGCAATGCCATGGATGTGGTCTCCTGGCTCACCGAGCATCTGCAACATGCTTGGGGCTCGACGGCTTGGTTGGTGCCGGGTGTGCTCAAGGCAGCGGCGTCGAGATTCTCAGTCCTCTCGGCAAAGATCAAGGCAAAGCTTGTTCTCTCTTTTGTGGTACTCAAGCCAAAGCGGTTTGCAGAGTTTGCTGATGCTGCAGATGCCATTGCTCAGGCGGCTGCCAAGGACTCGGACGAGTGGGTCCGCACCATTGCCGCCATTGCAAGCCATATCAACGCCGATCGCTCTTGGATTGACACCGCAAAGCTGCTCGAGTCCAATGACGCTGGCGGCTTGGAGATCATGCGGAGACTGGCTGCAGTTGCTGATGCTGCTCTCAATTCTCGCCAGGCGCAGCCGGCGCTGAGTCGCCGGGAGGACACCCTCATTGCCTCGGCGACGGGCCCGAAGGACGTGCCGGCAGCCGCGCCAAAGCCGTACACCATCTCGATCGCCGCGTCCCCCGACAACCGGCCAAGATTTGCGTGGGAGCCGCGCCCGGCGGCCGAGAAGGAGCTCGAGCAGAGCCGGCGACCGGCGGCCAAGCCGATAGCCAAGCCGTTGGGCCGGCCGGCTATACGGCCGTCGCTGTCAGCATCGTCACCATCGGTAGCAGCGGGACTTCGCGGGCGTGGACGTGGGCGCGGGCGCGGGCGCGGGCTCACTGCCGAGCAGCTGCAAGCCCGCAAGGCTGCCCGCGAGGCCGAAGCCCGCCGTGCCCGCGAGCGCGCCGAGCGGCGCAAGGCTGCGCCCGTTGTCGTTGACGCCGCTCAGGTCGAGGCCGAGGCCGCCGCCGCCCGCGAGGCCGAGGCCCGCGCCAAGGCTGCCGCTCGCGAGGCCGAAAAAGAGGCCAAGAAGGCTGCGCGCAAGGCCGCTCGCGAAGCCAAGCGCAAGGCTCTCCGCGAAGAGCTCAAGCGCAAGCGCGACGAGGATCGCGCCGCCGCTGTCGCCGCCGCTGGCATCGACGCCCCAGTCACCAAGAAGGCCAAGACCAACGACGGAACAGCAAGCCCCACCGCGTCATCAGCCAGCCAAGGCGCTGCTGGTGAGTGTGATGAGGCCAATCCCGAGGCTGGCGGCGTGATGGGGCCGGCCGGCGGAGATGGTGGAGACGGCGGAGCGGCGGCAACGACGGGAGCGGAGGCAGCGGCGGAAGGCGAGTAAACCCGACTCGGGAAGGAGGGGGGGGTCTGGGTGTGTAGGACAGAGGCGACATGGCAGACACATACAACGGGCGACTCAAACCAGGAGCTTACAAGGGCGTGCTGGGCGCGAGTGAGTCGCACGACACGCTGTCGGCCACCAAGGCCAAAGTCGATGAGTTGGCGGCGCTGGTGGCCGGCGCTCGGCATGTGGTCGTTCATACTGGTGCGGGCATCTCGGTCGGGGCTGGCATCGCAGACTTTCGATCAGCGACGGGCGTGTGGACGGCAGAGGCGGTGGCGGCTGGGGAGCTGGATGTGGAAGATATGGGCAAAGTGAGCTCGGCATCAAGACCGCCGTCTGAGGCCATGGACGCTGTCGCTGCTCACGGCTTTCGAGCCGCCCGCCCGACGTATGTCCATCGGGCGCTTTCCTTTCTTGTCGCGCGAGGCATCGTTGCCTTTATCGTCTCGCAGAACGTAGACGGCTTGCATCTGCGGGCAGGTACGCCGGCAAGCAAAATTGCTGAGCTCCATGGGAACGTCTTTAAGGAGTGGTGCGCCAAGTGCGGTGCCGGGTACGTGGGCAAGGTCGAGCTCAAGTCGGTCGGTTTCAAGCCGACAGGTCGAGTCTGTCTCCGCTGTAGGGGGCCGATGCTCGATTGCATACTCGACTGGGATGATGCGCTGCCGGCAAACGCGCTAGACGCGGCCATTGCCCACTCGCGGGCGGCGGACCTCTCGATTGTCCTGGGTTCGTCGCTCCAGATCGCCCCGGCCCGCGGACTGCCGGTCCGGACAACACGTAAGAATGGCAAGGCTGCTCCAGGTGCGCTCGCTGTTGTCAACCTTCAGCCAACTTGTGTCGACCGCCATGCTGCTGTTCGCATCGGGTACGATGTCCAGGGTGTCATGGCTATGCTGATGGAGCGATTGGGGCTGGGCGAGGCGCTGGGCACATGGGAGGCACCGCCGCCTGTACTCGGCTGGATCGACGCACCTGAGTCGCCACAGGCAGCAGCGCGAAGCACCCGCAAGCGAGGGCAAAGGCCGTCGACTGATGAAGAGCCCAGCCTGGCGCCAGCTGTCAAGAGGAGCAAGGGTTTAGAGTGATGGCGGCGTCGGCGAAGGCGGTGACGAGCATGCAGCACTTTTCGCGGCGGCGAGCTGGTCGCGGAGCACACTGAGCTGCGCCTCGTGAGAGATGTGCACGCGGAACAGGTTGCGATCGCGCTGGGTGAGTTCGGCCTGGAGCCTGTCGATCTCATTGCGGAGATTGGTAGTCTCAGAGGTGACGTCGCGAAGGGCCGACGACTCGCCGTGGAACAACGGGGTGGCATGGAGCTCGTCATCGGTGACAAGGAGATGGGCAACGTCGCGAGAGGCAGTGGTGGCGCCCGCGCGCAACGCCGGCGACACGCCGCCCTTGCCGTCGGCGGTGACACCAAGGCCGAGCACGGTCATGACCCACCAGTTTCGCTTTCGAATCCACGGCAGCAGTCGCAGGTTGGCGAGGATGGCGAGGAGAATGAACAGCAGGAACACAAACGAGATGACGACAACGATGATGTGGTCGAGCGTTCCGATGTCGGTCGACGACAAGTTGCTCACCTGGTCCGCCGACGAAAACAGTCGCAGCTCGGCCTGGACAAGGAGCACCGCCACGATGAGAGAGACGAGCGAGACAAGCTCGGCGAGGTTGACCAGCGAGGTCGAGAACGGCGCCCACCAGCCCTGGAGCGCAAGCTCGGCACCGAGGACAGAGACCACCGCCAGCGGGCCAAACGACGAGGTCGGCGCCGTGATCGAGAGCACGACCGTGACAAAGATGCGCCGGGCGGTGAAAAACATCTCGAACCACCATGCGCCCGGCCGGAATGACTCGTAAAGGATCGAGTACTTGGTGCGGACGGCAAGCGAGTCGAGGGCGCCCGTTTGCGCGGCATAGAAGACAACGCCGTGAGCGTAAAAAAGGGCAATCGTGTACACAATCATGGCCCCCGTCCCCCACCACGCCATACGGACGTAGTCGTGCTCTTGTCGCGAGCAGCGGATCCACGGCGCGGCGCGCATGTACAAATCGCCGTCACCCGGCACGCCCGACGAGTCGCACGAAAAGAGCGAGAGGTAGATGCCAAGAACGGGAAAGTAGACCATGTACAGGATGGCAATCAAGATGGAGATGATGAGCCATAACAGCCGGTGGAGGCGGGTCGTAATCCTGGTGTAGATGGCCCCGGCAAGCGCTTGGGCATCCTGACGGTGCCGTACGCTGCGCCGCAGCCACCAGCCACGGACAACGAGCCAGCAGGCGTACACGCCAAAAACAAGTAGCGCAAAGGCGGCGTAGATGAGCGGCCCCAACATGACGAGGACAAGAATGGTGGGATATGTGCTGGCAAACGACGTGCGCGAACAGATACTGGGCGTGACAATGAAAATGCCGTTGTTGAAGACGCGAAAGAACGAGAAGAGTTGCGGGAGAGTGATCGGAAGCGTAATTACGTTCATGGTCTGGAACCAGATGGTGGTGACCTTGTAAAAGCCCGAGTTGACCGCGAGCGTCTGGCGGACTTCCCACAACGGAATGTCGCCGAGAAAGCCTCCAAAACTCTGGTGAGCATCGACAGTGCCTGTGCGAGTCGACTCGTTGATCGGGTTCGCCATGAGCGGGGTTCGGAGGTCGGCGGTGCCGATGCCAGACGTCTTGGCAGCTTCGAGGTCAAGAGGGAGCGAGGAGCGGACCAGAAAGTGAAAAGAGACTACAACAAAGAGAAACAGCTCAACCATGAGGGCGGTTGTGGACATCGCATACGAGGCTGCGGCAACGGTGATGCAGCCGACGAGGATGCCGACAAGAAGAAGCTCTCGCCAGTAGGTGCGAAGAAAGAGCGGGATCGACGGGTTGCGGTGGTACGCCGCGCGGCGCTTGGCCCGCATCGGGTTCTGCTCGCGGGCGCGGAGAACAATCAAGGCGGTAAGTGCAGCAGTGATCATGAGCGACGAGGTGACGGCGTTGATCTTGCTCGACGCGGCCGAGCTGCAGTGGCGGCACTCGCCTTGGATGTAGTAAAAGTAGCCGTCGGCACACTGCGAGCAGAGCCGGCCGTAGTAGCCCGGCAGGCAAAGGTCACCAGTGCAATTGAGCCGGACGGTGTCGGGCTCGGTGGCGTACGGCACGCAAGTCACGTTTCCAAACGGGTTGCAAACCGAGGTCCGGTGAATGTTGACGGTTGAGGTGCACGGCACAAAGGCTGAGGCGGCCGAGGACTGCGGCGCCGGCCAGTAGCCGACGGCGGGCTGAACGGCGCGCGAGCTGGCGGCCGTGGTGGCACAAAGCCTGCCGTCGGAGCAGTATGAGACGGCGGTCCGACACCCAGTGGTGGCGTTTGGAGAGGCCGAGACAACTCCGGTGTAGCCTTGGATGCATGAGCAGAGCTGATAGCGGTAGTAGGACGGGTCGATGGAGACGACCGAGCGCCGTGAGGAGTCAGTGAGGCCGGGACACGCGTAGTGATCCAGCGGGAACTTGCGCTCGGTAACCGGGTCCGGCACGAGGAACGACTCGACCGGAGTGACGCTCGCTATCATCCGGGCGTTACCATGCAACGAGAGGAAGCGGAGATTGGTGGCGAGGGCAACGGCAAACGAAAGCGGGATGCTGCCGACAAAGTCGTTGTCGGAGAGATCGAGGGTGGAGAGGCCGTACGGCAGGTTGAACGATGAAGCGAGGGCAGTGCGCGGAAGTCGACCCTCGAGCCTGTTGCTCGACAAATCCAGGTAAGAGATCGAGGGAAGAGGAGCAGAGTGTCCGATGCGAGCTGGCCGCCGATGCTGTTCTCGCTCATGATGAGCGTTTCCATCGAGACAATGCTAGTCCGTCCGGCGTCGACGCAAAACGGCCAGTTGCTGGCCACTGCGCCGGGTGGTGCACGCATCATGCGAGTCAGCGCCTGAAGAAGCGAAGAGCCGCCAAATGCACGCGGATTGGCGCTCACGTCCAGGAAACGGAGATTTGCAGTCCACTTGCAGACAAACTGCGTCTGTGAGAGGAAGAGAGCCTCGACGTAGAAGACAATCGGTGGCGCAGCGAGTGCGTTGGCACGAAGTGAGAGGAACTTCAGTGACGGCTGTTCGTCGACGTTCCAGTCAAGGCCGTTGATGGCATTGTTGGAGAGGTCGAGGAGCGAGAGCGAGCCGAGGCTTCCGATGCTTGCCGGAACTTGCCCCGTCAAGTTGTTCGACCGAAGAAAGAGGCCGACAAGAGCGGCGCAGTCGCCCAGCTCCGGGGGGATGGGACCGGTGAGCTTGTTGTCCGAGAAGTCAATGTGGACAGCAGAGCACGAGGGAGGAAACAGGCCATCCAGCGAGCCGGTTAGCCTGTTTGAGCTGAGCGTGAGGTTCCCGAGCGATGCGCAAAGAGCGAGGGTGAGCGATGGCGGAAGCTCGCCGTGAAGCGAGTTGTAAGAAAGATCAAAGGTGCTGAGGGAGGCATTTGCCGAGAACCTGTCCGGGATCGTTCCCGTGAGGAGGTTCATGGCAAGATCGACGTGCGCGAGCGCTGGGTTCCCGACATACGACGGTGGAATGATGCCGGAAAAGCTGTTTGCGCGGAGTGATATGGAGGCCATGCCAGGGGTATTGGCCAGCCAGGCAGGGAGCGTTCCGCTGAGACTGTTTGCAGAGAAGTCCAGATAGCGCAGGTTCGACCAGGTGGCCGGGCGGGTAGGCGGGAGCTCGCCAACCATATTGACTGCCGAGACGGACAAGAAAGTAGCCCGCAAGTTGAAGAGCGCAGGCGGGATCGGGGCCGGTGCCAGGTCGAGACCCTTGAGGTAGACTTTGCTCAAGTTGGGCATGTCGGCGAGACAGTCTGGCAGCGAGCCCGTGACCAGCGGAGCGTTGATGATGCCGATGACCGACATCGGCTTGACGGCACAGATAGCGTCCGAAAAGTCCCCGACGAGGTTGTTCGAGTTGATGAACATGCCAGCGAGCGAAGAGCTGTGGTTTGAAGTGAGGAGCCATGCCCACGGCAAGCAGCCAAAGTCATCGATACGATAGCAACAGGGATTAGACTCTGGTTCTTCCCATCCATAGTTGGTATCCCAATGAAGACCACCGAGACCATGATACCACTCCAGCAGCGCAGCCTTTTCCTCCTTTGGAAGGCATTGATCATCCATGTTGCGGGTACGATCCCAGGTGAGCTCGCCCACCGGTTTCCGGACACGATTCGCAGCAAGAGCCACCTTGGCTTCAGCAAGCTCTACCGAGGGGGACGACCTCGGCATGGAAGCGCAATTGACAGAGAGAGATGCAGTAAGGAAGAGAGCGACGAGAATGAGGAGTGTGGCCGTGGTGCTCCCATGGGCGGTGGTGGAGGTGCAGGACATGGCGGGCAAGTTGAGTGTGGTGTGACGCCTCGCTGAAAGAAATTGGCCCACCTGCGTGCGGCGTGAGCAGATGCGGATTGCACGCAATGTTCAATGGCTACGTGCGGAAAAGGCAAGAGAGCCTCGTGGGAGATGTTGGCCATCGCGTTTATGGTCGGGGCGAGGGAATGGTTGGGCGCCATGGAACTTTCCAAGACTTGGCGAGATCGTCGCGGGCGTCAGAGGTGAAGATCTCGGCGAGCTCGTCGGTGGACGCAAGGTAGATACGGCGGACAGCTGGGGGTGCAGCACCCGAGGCGGCGGTGGCCTTTGGGCCGACCGGAGGCGGAGGCTGGATGGGGAGTGGAATGCCGTCGGCGGAGGGGAGGGCGTGCATGGGGCGGATGGCGATGCGCTTGACGCCGCGGCGGTCGATGTCCAGCAGGCGGCCGCCGCGCTTGTACACATCGGGGCTGCGGTGGGACGACCGCGAACGAACCTGAGACATGACCTTACTCAAAACCATGTCCCAGTCAGCCTGGACGAGCTTGCGACGCTCGGCGCGGCGGAGGCCAAGCGCACGCTTGCGCTTGTGGCGCTCGATCTTGGCGATGCGACGGGCCTCGGACTCTGCCGGATCGGCATTGTTGTCAGGATCTGGCGCGCTTGCCTCACCACGGTTGGAGCTGGAAGACGAGTCCGAGAGCCAGCCAGCGTCGCCGCTGTGCGCATTGACGCCGTCTTCGTCGTCGTCGTCATCGTCGTTGTTGACGAGCTCACCGCCGCCACCGTTTGCAGTGGAAGAGGCGGTGAGCGAGTCGGGATGAGCGTTGAGCTTTGCGCGCTCGATGGCGACTGCGCGAGCCATGAGCATTTGCAGACGCGAGCGGCGGGCCTTTCGGTGCGAGCCTGCGGCGGTGACCGAGGCGGTGGCCGCCGACGCCAGACGCTCCTGCCGTCGGCGCATCCGCTCTGCGCGAACGTTCTTGGTGTCAAAGCCCTTGATGCCCCACTCTGCAGCCAAGCCAGAGGCAGCATCGGTAGAGGCGGCGGCCCGCTTGGCTCGACCAGGAAGGCCTGAACTTGGCGCCGAGTGGAGTGGATGGCTACCACGGATGCGCGGGTCGAGTCGCTTGAGTAAGCGATCCAGACCACGCTGATGGGCATCAACCTGAGCGATGGGTTTGTCAAGAAAACATCATCAGGAATGAGTTCAACTCCAGGCAGCGATGTCGTCTTCTTTGCCTCTGACCGTCGACTCCTCAGCGCCCTTCCTTTTGCCTCCTTCCTCGACGCAGCTGCGTTCTCCCTTGCTCGCCGCCTGGTCATCTGAGCCACCACCCTCTTCCGAGACGAAGTGTCCAACTCGGCTTCCAAGGACGCCACCAGCGAGTCCAGCGCATCCCTTCGTGGTTGACGACTTCGTTGCATGTGGGTGTGGGTGTAGGAAGGGGGGGGGGGATGGGTGTAGTGGGCGACCTTGTGGTTGGGCCTGGCAGACAGCCGACTGACCAACTGTGGACCTGTGAGCGGAACAGGATGCTGTGCCGAACCCACCGATGTCATGCACATGTGTACCCAGAGTCTCGGTAACCGACCGAGTGGTCGTTCCGCTAGCTCGATGACTTGAAAGATTTCCATACGTTTACTGCGCTGGCCATCAATGTCAGCACATCGTACCGATTGGTACGGTACATGAGCGCCCATCGCAAGCTCGCGCGTAGTTTCGAGATCAAGGTAATGGGCGTCGGCATTGTGGTCGGGCATCGTTATCAGAAGATTGGGTGGGTGGCTGGCTGGGTGGCTTTCTGATCCTCTGGAGCCGATTGCGTCGATGCCATCGGAGCTCTTTGCAAAGTATGGTGCCAGCTACTTTGCCTCACGCTGCCGGTGGCGAGTGTCAGTGAGTGGCAGCAGACGCGGCGGCGACACTGGCTATCGTTGTACTCTGTCCACCGCTGCCGACCATACGGTACACCTCACTCTACGGACACACACACACACACACACGAGTACCTGAAGGCATGAAATCGATTCAGAATAGGCCCAGACAGCCGACTGACCAACTGTGGACCTGTGAGCGGAACAGGATGCTGTGCCGAACCCACCGATGTCATGCACATGTGTACCCAGAGTCTCGGTAACCGACCGAGTGGTCGTTCCGCTAGCTCGATGACTTGAAAGATTTCCATACGTTTACTGCGCTGGCCATCAATGTCAGCACATCGTACCGATTGGTACGGTACATGAGCGCCCATCGCAAGCTCGCGCGTAGTTTCGAGATCAAGGTAATGGGCGTCGGCATTGTGGTCGGGCATCGTTATCAGAAGATTGGGTGGGTGGCTGGCTGGGTGGCTTTCTGATCCTCTGGAGCCGATTGCGTCGATGCCATCGGAGCTCTTTGCAAAGTATGGTGCCAGCTACTTTGCCTCACGCTGCCGGTGGCGAGTGTCAGTGAGTGGCAGCAGACGCGGCGACGACACTGGCTATCGTTGTACTCTGTCCACCGCTGCCGACCATACGGTACACCTCACTCTACGGACACACACACACACACACACCGAGTACCTGAAGGCATTGTTGCGTTGCTTGTGTGCTTAGTATCTGTCTTGCGTGGTCGCTGCTCGGTTGTGACTGCTGGGTGACATGGCTCGTGGACGGACGGGACGGAGCAGGGGACGAGGAGGAGCAGATAGTGGCAGTGCTGGTGGTAGCAGTACTGGTGGCAATGATGGAGGATCTGGGGCGAGGGCAAACAAGAAGGGCAGCGGAAAGGGTGGGCAAGGCAAGGGCAAGAGCAAGGCGGCTGGTTCGGGCGAGTCGGCCTTTGCGCCCGAGCCGACCTTGTGCTGCTTCCACGACAAGGCGGCAAAGGTGGAGATCGATGCGCTGGTGGCAACGCCGTGCATGCAAATCATGGTGTCGGGTGGTACAGATGGAACGTTGGCTATGTGGCTCCCGTTTGAGGTACTGGCGGAGGGCAAGGCCATTTCGATGAAGGCTCGTAAGGAGCATGGTATGTCGCTGGCGTACTCGGCCGTGCCTGAGGTCTGCTGGGCGTTCAAAAAGGAGCGGATCACCACCGGACTCTCACGGATGACGGTCAAAGCTGTCCGCGACGCAGCCCGGGGCACGGAAGCCGTTTCGGCACTCGCGCTCCACCCGGAGGCGGCGTGGATTGCGGCCGGTGGCGCCGACGGGTCTTTGGCGGTGCATGGCGTCCGCGGAGCGCCCGGCGCGCTGCTCGCCACGCTAGACGAGCATCGCGGGCGGGTCAACGGCCTTGCGCTGGTGGGTGATAGCAGTGAGACGGCACTTGTCTCTGTGGGGGCTGACGGCCTTGCGCGGGTGTACGACCTGAGCCACGGCGCGCCGAGCGTCGAGGTGGATCTCGCGACGCCACTGACTGCAGTGGCGGCGCTGGAGTCAGGGCTTGGACCGCGGGTGGCGCTCACCGACTTTGTGGGCACAACCCGGGTGTGGGATGTTCGGACGAGCATCGATGAGGCGCTCGAGCTGCAGTCGCGGCTGTCAACGCCGGCGCTGTCGGTGGCGGTCGAGGGCGACGCTGTGTACGTCGGGCACCGCGAGCACCAGGGCTGGGCACACGTCATTGTCCACGACGTGACGGCTGGCAAGCTGCGGGCGGACATCAAAATGGAGTTTGGCTCGGGGCCCGCGCTGAGCATTGCGCCGATTCCACCCGGTGACTGGGCGGCTGGCCACATCATGGTCGGTTGCTCGAGCGGCGTCCACAAGTACGACGCCAGAAGCGCAAGCAGCAGGGAGACCCGGTTTGCCGGCTGTGTGGCTGGGCCGGAGACCCCGATTGCCGCCATTGTCACTGCTGTCGACCAGCCGCTGGTGGCCACTGCCGGCGGCTCGCGCGGCATGGTCATTCCCTCGGCAAGCAATGAGCTGTTTGTGTACACCGTTCCATCGCGGGGTGGTTCTGCTGCCTCACGTTCAAGCTGATGCTGATGCTGATTGTAAATGTCGACGATGGCAGTTGGGGGGGGGGGGGGGGGGGGGGGGAGCATTGGCCTCGTCCGGTGACACTGCTCTGCTTGCGTTTGAAGGGGAGACTGGCGGCAGCGGGAGCAGGAGGAATAGTGGCTCGGAGCGAGGGCTGAGGACGGGTATGGGGGAGATAGGAGGTCGACACGGGGGGAAGCGGCGTATACGACTGGCGGTTCTGGCTGGGGTGGTGGCGGCACTGGCAGTGGTCCTGGCGCTGTACGCACCGCGGCCGATGCACCGGCCGGCGCTGTTGGGCAGACTACATCATCCGGTGCCACGGCTGGCTGGCGCAAGTGAGCTGGTGGTGGTGGCTGGCCACACAGTGTTTGCCGGTGCGTCGTTTGTTGGGGCCATGGACTCACCCGATGGCTGGCTTCTCCAGCCTTATCAAGTGGCTCAGATCGATGCCATCCTCGACCACATCCGGACAGGCGTGGCCATTGCCGCAGCCAATCCAGAGGCGGTACTGGTCTTTACAGGCGGCGCAACGCATGCCGAGGTCCAGCGATCAGAAGCCGAGTCGTACCTGCATGCGGCAGACGCGGCAGATTGGTTCGGCGAGCCAGAGGTGGCGCGGCGGACGGTGACCGAGAACGCCGCGCGCGACTCGCTGGAGAACCTGCTGTTCTCGATCTGTCGATTTCGCGAGGTGACGGGGCGGCTCCCGGCACGGATTACCGTCGTGTCGTTTGAGTTTAAGCGCAATCGCTTCACCAACGTCCATCGCGCCGCACTCGGCTTCCCGGCCGAGTGCTTCTCGTTTGTTGGCAACCACGTCGCGGATGATGCCAGCGCCGACCTCGACGCCCACACCCGCACCGCTTTTAGCGCTGATCCATTTGGTTGCGGCGCGCCGCTGGCCGCCAAGAAGCAGGCCCGTAACCCGTTTGCTACCTCGATCGGCTACCCGATGGGTTGTCCGGAGCTCTCGGCACTCTTTGAATGCGAGCTTGTGGATGCGACGCTGCTGCCGTGGGGCGATGGTGGCTGGTGCAGTGGCAATTGAACCCTGTTCCGACAATGAAGTCGGGTGGAACCGGCTGCGTGGCCTCTGGCAGTGCGAGTTGCGCGTCATGTCCGCGCGTCATGCCGCGCGTCATGTTGTCGCTAAAAACCAGCGGCGCGTTGGCGTAGGCAATGAATCCGGCGGAGCGGACGACACAAATTTTAAAAGAACAAAAACCTGGGCGCACGCGCCGACATCGGGTCAACGTTCGTATCTTCGGCAACGCTTCTCTCGCCTTTGCAGGCAGGGTAAGTGACGGCCTTGTACGGAAAGTGGTGCAGGTTTCTTCAGCAAGGAGTCACAAAGACGACAACCACCCAAGCACGTGTGTGACATTGTGCTCCATCCATCTACCTCTTTGTCGACATCGTGTTGCTGACGCTGAGGCTTTCCTTTCGCTCCGCGTCTCGGCTGCCTTTGTTCCGCTCGTGACGTCGGTGGTCGTCGACTGACACGTGGACCGCATCAAATTGGGCCATTCATTCGGTGGCGCTACGTTTTTTTTTCTTGTGCTTCTTCTTTCTCGAAGAGACATCACCACCGGCTACGGCTCTGGTTGCAGCGTGTGGCTGATGACAGAGGCATCGTCGGCGCAGTCGCTCTCGGTGAGCAGCTCGCGGTACGCCAGCGAGTATGATGAGCTCGGCCAGCTCGGGTTTGGAGGCTTTGGCTCGGTGTTTCGGGTTCGCGCGCGGCTGGACGGGCACCTGTATGCGGTGAAAAAGGTGGTGCTCCCGCCCAACGCCTCGCCACTGCCGGCGCGTGAGCGGAAGGAAGTACAGCTCCTTGCGCGGATCTCGAATCATCCGCACATTGTGCGCTACTTTTCGTCGTGGGTGGAGCGGGTGCTCCGGGCTGACGTCATGTGCGACGAGGACGACGAGTCGGGACTCGGCGAGTCGTGGTCGATGATCTCGCTGGCGTCGTCTGACTCGATCGGCGGGACCGCACGCGGGCTTTTCTTTCTCGACGAACACAGCAGCGAGAGTGGAGGGGATGATGACGGCAGCAATGCGCCGGTCGTGGAGGCGCGGGTGGGCGGCGAGGAAGTCGACGTGCTGTTTGTGCAGATGGAGCTGTGCTCGGACCTGACGCTCCGTGAGTGGCTGGACGATCCGGACCGGAGCGTGGACCGCGAGGTGAACCTGCGGATCCTGTCGCAGCTGCTTGCGGCACTGCAGCATGTGCACGCCTTTAACGTTGTTCATCGCGACATCAAGCCGGCCAACGTGTTCCTCGAGTCAAACACGGTTGTCAAGCTCGGCGACTTTGGCCTTGCGACGTCGATCTTTGAGCAGTGTGGGGTGCCGCCGCCGGCAGAGGCGAGCTCGGCAGGAGGCGGCGAGGCTGCATCGATGGGTCTGCTGAGGATCCCGAGTGCAGCAGCGCCTGGAGGTGGGTTGGGCACAGCGCGATCGATCCCGTCGGATGTGTCTGAGGCTGGCAACCTGACGCAGGGTCTCGGATCGACGTTGTACGCAGCGCCGGAGCAGGTCGATGGTGACGGGCGGTACGGAACCGGTGCCGACATGTTTTCGGTCGGCCTTGTGATGGTCGAGATGTTCCTCCCGCCGTTTACCACGATGATGGAGCGGGTGCGGACGCTCGAGGCGGCACGCGCAGGCCACCTCGATCCGCAGATCTACTCAGCGTACCCGCAGGTGGCAGACCTCATTGCGTCCCTGCTTGTGGTGGACAGCGAGCGGCCGACGGCGGCGGCGCTGCTGCGGCACCCGGTGTTTGAGCCTGTGTGGGTCGGGTCGGCGACCGGCTCGGACATGGCATCGTACTCGCCGACCTCGTGGCACTGGGGCACGCCGCCGGCATCGCCTATGGGCGGCAGCAAAGCCGGGCGGGCACGGGCACACTCGGGTTTTGACGGCCCTTGGGAGCTGAGCGCCGAAGGCGGCGACGACCCCGGCAGCTCACCGGCCCGCGGCGCGTCGCCGCTCCTACGCGTCGCACCGCCGCCGAGCCCCTCGGGCTCACCGCCGTTTGCGCTCACCCCGCCGCCGTGTCATGGGTGCAGCCAGCGCGAGACAGGCATGGAAAAGCTGTCGACCAAGCTGCAGGCGTCGGAGGCGCGGGTGGCGCAGCTCGAGGCCTACATCCGCTCGCTCGGGGCGGTACCGCCGCTGGCGCCCGCGCCGTCGTCGCTACCGCGAACCTGGTCATGACGGCCACGTCGCGCTGGACATGTTCGGCTCTTCAACAAACAGCATCTCAAACTCGCCCGTCCGCTCTAGCTTTCCCCTCTTGCCGCAGTACAGGATGAGATGACCAGCGTGGAGCTCGGTGTATCCGCCACGGAGGCTGAAGATCTCCCCGGGCTCCAGCATGCTCCCGACGTCATCCCACACCGCAAACGTGACAGAACCGGTGGCATCAGCCACCTTGAACGTCGTCACCTTTGCGCCCGACTTGATCGTCCGCACTCCTGTGTGACATTGTGGGTGAGCAGGACAGTTGTGAGTGTGTGTATGTGGAGCTGGCCGCCTGACCCGCGCGCCCTCCCGCCACCGACCCACCGACCAGCACAGGCATACCGAGCTTGTCGAGCACCACAAATGCAGTGTTGACGACCCTCAGCTCGGGAGTGAGCTCAGCAATGGAGGCATCAACCCCTGTCTGGGCCATGGCAGGATCCTCGTCGAGATGAGTGTGGTCGTCACGACCAGATTGGGGGGGGGGGGGGGGGGGCAACCGACTCGTCCGCCTTGCCGACTTGCCCTGGCCTCAGCCCACGCCACTCCACTCACCACCACCACACCACCACCACCACCACCACCACCACTACACCACTACACCACACACACACACACATACACACAGACCACAGACCACACACATTCCACAAACTCCATAGACGGTGACATGTCTGGAACACCATCCGCAAACCGTCGCACGCGGTCGTTGAAGGGTCGCCGTCGGGTCGCCACGCCCACCTCCAACCGCCAGGCCGTCAAGTTCCTGACCCAGAGGTAAGTGATGGACCTGGGAAGGAAGGAGGGGGGGGGAAGGGAGGGGAGGGGAGGGGAGGGGAGGGGAGGGGAGGGGAGATAGACTCATGCAGAAGGAACGGTTGGGAATCGATCGGGATCGGATGGTTGGGCTTGGGTTGTGGTGGATTGCGCGGTGTGTGTGGCTGGTGTCTGACGGGCGGATGGGGATGGGCTGGGTTGGGCGACTGGGGCTTGCGGGCGAGGGATTGTGTACTGGTGGTGGTGGTGGTGGTGGTATTGCTGCTTTGGTTGAATTCTGGTCGAAATCAATGCCCTCGTCTTCGGCGCTGTTGCTGTTGCTGGGCCATCGTCGCAGGGCCAAGGAGCGGGAGGCACGGAGGGAGGCCAAGCTGGCACAGCTGGATCACGAGCAAAGGGAGCTGGACTTTCAGTATGTGCAAAAGGTGAAAGAAGCCAACGATATGTTGTTGACGCTGGCACCGACCAAGCAGTATCGGGTGTTCAAGGCTCATGCGCGGGCCGAGCTGCGCATCCACTTGTACCAGAAGGACGACCTGCTGAAGGACCTTTCCATCGACCGTTTCCGGCGCGAGTACAAGCGGCTGCTGGTAGAGATCGAGCGCCGCGAGTCGCAGGCTCGCATGGGTCTCTCTGCTCGCTCGCGCGCAGAGACGGCCAAGCAGCGGCGGCAGGCCACCCGGCAGGAGATGCAGTCTGTCCTTCTCGACACCACCCGGCTCATCGGCCGACTCCGCGATCAGCTCGAGGAGCTCGAGTCCAAGGGCGGGTCCTTCTCGCCCTACATCGAGCGCCGTTAGCGCCTGCCTCTTTCCCATGGGCCCAGCATGGTGATCTTGACCTCACCCTCTTGCCCTTTCTGGACCGCATTCTGCTCGCTAGCATCTACTGTAGATCCGCATGAAGCCGTTTGCAAACGCCTTATCCCCATCATCACCTTCCCCATCTAGCACCACCATCCCCCAACAACAGTATGGCCATCAACAGTGTGGCCATCCACATCATGGCTGTCTTCATCATCGCCATCGCCATTGTCGCCATCACCAACATTAACATCATCGTCATCACCATCACCATCACTGGCCTCGCCACCATCACCATCATAATCACCCCAACCCCAACCCCAACCCCAACCCCAACCCCAACCCCACCCACTCTCCTCCCTCCCCCCTCCTCCTCCCTCCTCCACCACCAGCCAATCCCAGCACCGGCCAAACGGCCACCACTCCACTTTCTTGTGAACACCCAGCCAACTCATGAGTGAGGACGGTAAGGCCAGATCCCCTCCCGTCCCTCCCCCTACACACACCCACACACCCACACACACTCTCTCTCTTTATCCATACCCTCCCCCCTTCACTCACCCTCCCCCCCCCCCCTCCCTTCGTAGGTGATGCCCTTCAGGCACTCTGGGACGCATGCGAGGAGGGAGAGCTGTCTGCGGTAGAGTCAGCACTGACTGCCGTTGGAGACCGATTGGATGTGGTGGATACGGATGGAGATGGTTACACCGCTTTGCAGTATGCTGTGAGGGCAAAGGCGCCTGATGTGGTCAGGTTTCTGTTGGCGGAAGGTGCTAATCCCGAAGTCCCGTCGGCCTTTGGTGGAGAGACGGCTCTTCATCTGGCGACAAAGCTCCAACACGCGGCTCTGGTGGACATACTGCTCAATGACGGCTTTGCTCGCCCTGATCCTCCTTCTTCAAAGACGGGCATGACTCCATTGGACATGGCGATGGATCCGGCTTGCAAGGATCTGCTTCGTCAAGCCATGGACCTCCAGCTAGACTCGGAAGATGCTCCTGCTCATGATCCGGCTCGGGTCATGGCCAAGGCTCTGTATGACTTTGTGGCAGAGCACGATGAGGAGATGTCTCTTGCTGTTGGCGATGTTGTCCTCGTTGAGACATGGGACGAGGGCAACGAGTGGCAGCATGGCCACAAGATCAAGAACATCGCCCGCAACCCGATCCTCCTCGGGCCTGTTGGCCTCTTCCCGTCCAACTTTGTCGATCCTGTCGAGGTGCCGGCTCCGGCGCCGCCCGTTCCCGCCTTGCCGGCTAACGCCTCCTCGATGTCCACGCCCAAGTCGAGCAAGGCGGGCAAGGCCAAGTCCAAGCTGGACTCGACCAAGTCGCCGTCTGCCGCCACTGGTGCGCTCTCGCCCGAGACCAAGGAACTGCTGCGGAAGCAGAAAGAGCAGCGCGCACTGGTCAAGGAGCAGCTGGCTAAGGTCGACGGCTTTGTCCTTCCGTCGGATCTCCAGGCCAAGCTCGAAGACGAGACTGACGACTTTGACGACTGGTCGTCAGTTGACGACGCAGAGCCCAGGACCGATGCAGGCGCCAAGCCGCAGCAGGCCAAGGTCACTCTGGCTGCGCCAGCGTCGTCATGGGCTGCCGCTTTTGGCGAGTCCACTGCCCCGCTCCTCGACTCATACCAGCTCATCCGCGAGGCGCTGGATGCCGTCAAGCTCCCCAAGTACCTCGAAAACTTTGAGGATGCCGGCGTCGACGACTCGCTCCTTGCAGAGCTTGACCTTGCAGACCTCAAGGAGATGGGCATCTCGCGCCTCGGCGACCGCAAGAAAATCCTTATGGCGCTCAAGGCTGCCGGTGCCATTGAGGCTAAGCCTCCTCTTGACACCTCCGACGTCGATGTCGGTGTTGACGACGACGCCGACGTCGGCCGTGACTCGGGCGACGCCGACGTGCCACCGGCCAACTCAAAGCGATCAGGTCGCCGTCGCAAGAACAGGCGCAACCGCGGCGCAGCCGCAGCCGCCGGCGCTACCGGCGTTGCTGTCGGTGCAGTCGCTGGCGCTGGGCTTGCTTCCGATGACTCTGGCCCGCCGCCAGCCCCGCCCAAGCGAGTCTCTTCGCTCGCCTTTGTCGACTACGACTTTAAGGCTGCTGCCGCTGCCGAAAAGTCCAAGTCGGCCGACCGCCCGCAATCAGCGCTGGCTCGGTCGGCGTCGCGCTCGCGTCGCGGCGGTGACCCATCGCTCCGTTCAGCAGCGGCCAGGAACCGGGCCTCGCGGTTCGGCGCCTCGCCCGTCACCACCGACGACGCCAGCCCGCCGCCGCCGCCCAAGCGCGTGTCGTCGATGGCATATGCCGACTACGTCTTTGACCCGTCCAAGCCTCCTCCCTCGGACAAGGCCCGCGACGGCGAGAGCGACGGCACCGACATCATCTCCGACGACGATGTCGATCCTTTCACCCGCCGCCAGCGTGAGCAGGCTGCCCGCCAGCGCCAGCAGCAGCAACAGCAGCAGCAGCAGAGCAAGGGATGCTGCGTTGTCATGTAGCTGCAACGTTTTGCTTTCAATGAACATCGTCACTCATCATCATCGTCGCTCTCGGTCTCGGTCTCGACCGACGAGCCCCACACGTTGTTGTTCCCGCCGTCGGACGACACACTCACGATCGAGGCTGACGAAGGCGAGCCCATCGCTGGCACCGGTGACTGGGCGATTGCATCAAACTTAGCAAGGTGCCCGGTGTCGGACGAAGCCTCGTCGGCAAAGTTCATCGAGTCGGCCGAGATGGCCAGCGACTCGGCCGAGGACCGGAACCGAGCGTCGTAGATAAAGGTCGGCGTGAACGCGCCCGACCGCGGGCCGGTCACACGCAGCTCGTCCGGATCATCGACAAGGGCGGCCAAGTACACGTAGTCATCGTCCGAGTCGAGCGTCCCAAGCGACTCGATGGCCGAGCCCCACTCGCACGACATCGACCGCAGCCGCTGCCGCGGTGTCGGTGCGCCCGGCGTCGTCGGCGTCGGCAGCGACTCGGAGAGCGATGCGTTCGACACGTCGCGCACCACATGGACCTCGAGCATCGGCAAGCCTGTCGTCTCTGATGCTGACGGCGTTGTCGCCGGTGAAGGTAGCTCCAAGCTGCTGCTGCCGCCGCTGCCGCCGCCGGCGCTGGCCTGCCGCTGCTTGACCCGCTCTGCCGCCGCGTGGTCCTGCAGTGCGTGGTCGACCTCGACTAGCAGCGACGCGAGTGTGTCGCGGACCTCGACACGGTGCTCCTTCGGCGTGTGCTTGATGAGCGCCGCAATGTCCGACCGCGGCGGTGGAAAGTCGACTAGCGCCGCCAGACCCGACGCGCTGTCGCCGATGGTCTTGGCAAACGCAACCAGGCCGTCGAGCGTCACCTCGTTGCCGTCGGTCCGAAGAATCCGCAGCATCGGTCCAGTCGGCCCGGCGTCTTTCAGCGTCGCCGCCAGCAGACTCAGCGTCGACGAGCAGCGGTTGTGGGAAATGTCGAGCTCGGTGAGCGCCGGCGCCCGCTTGAGCGCCAGCAGCAGCGGTTCCAGCGACGAGCCGAGGTAGCGTTTGCGGTCGGCCGAGCCCGCGAGCGAGAGCGTGTGCAGCGTTGAGCCGGGCGAGGTTGTCAGTGCCACAAGCAGCGACATGGCCAGGTCTGTGTGCTTTCCGCGGTGCTTGAGGTTTCTTCCAAACCGCAGCTCCTGCAGTGTGTCCACTTTGCACAGGCCAAGCAGCAGCTCGCACACTCCGTCGTTGTTCTTGGTCTTGAGCGTGATGCCCTCCATCGTCAGCGCTGTCAGGTTCTTCGAGTCCGCCAGCGCCGCGAGGAGAAGCTGCTCGCCGCGCAGGCCGTAGTCAAAGTTAGAGACGTCGACGTCGACCGACGGCTTCGACCGATCGTTGAGGAGACAGGCCAAGAGCGAGACGAGCCCCTCGCGCCCGACCCGGACTCCAGCCAGCGAGACCTCGTGGACCGGCGAGGTGACCACCGCCGCCCGAAGCGCCGGCAACGCTCGCTTGTCGAGCGTGTTGCCAGCCAGTCCCAGACTCTGCAGTGACGGCGCGAGCTGCACCGTCTTGGCCAGCACTCCACAGTCAATGCCAGTGTGCGAGAGGTCAAGCCGAGTCAGGGACGGCGCGAGGCTCACCACGTTCCACAGCGCTCGCGCCGCCGACGACGACGACAGCTTGTTTGATGCGAGGTTGAGCGTCCGCAGCGTCCATACCACCCGCCCGTCCAGAGCCGCCAGCGGCGCAGCCGGCCGAGGGTAGCCGCTCGCTTCGCACCGTTCGCACCCGTCACACGACTCGCTCTCCGAGCCCAGGCTCGCGTCCGACGCCGATGAGTCGAGTACAAACTCTCCGTCGCCGACCGAGCCCTCCTCAAACGGCAGGTTCGAGAGGCTCGAGCTGTGAGCCAGCCGCGAGCCCGGTCCAGCAAACACGCTCGGCGTCGCGCCGCCACCTGGCAGCGCCGCCGACGCCGACGACGGCGATGCCGAGTAGTCGTCAGTCGGCGGCTCACCTGTCGACGGCCCAGCATCGGGCGCTGCCGCCGCTGTCGGCGGCCCGCCGCTGCCTTCAGCGCCCAAGCCGGCCGCCGCCGACGCCGCTGCTGCATCCTCAAGCGTCTCCCAGTCGAGGTCCGCCAGCTCGAGCCGCTTCGCCACCAGCGCGGTAAGAAGCGTCGAGACGCCGGTTCGTGACGACGGCAGCGCCGCAGAAAGATCCAGCCCGACCAGCGAGGTGCCCGCGCCCAGGACGGTCCCGAGCTCGGAAAGCACCTTGTCTGGCAGCGGGTTGCCCGCCAGGGAGAGGACTCGAACCCGTGGCATGGCGTCGCGGAGGCCAGTGAGCAGCGTCCGCCACGCCGTCGATGATGACGGCAGCCCGAGCTCGGCCAGATCAAAGTGAGTGAGGTGGAGGTTGTGGGCGAGGAGCTGCGCAAGCTGCGGGACCACAGACTTGCACGAAATGCCGTGGAGTGAGAGGTGCGTAAAGTAAGCCGAGTGTGTGAGCGCCGAGAGCAGCGGGCCGGTCGTCGGCATGTGCAGCGGCGCGCCCGATCGCAGGTTGGCCGAGAGTGCGAGCATGTGAACGTCAAACTCGCGCTCGATGCCGTCGTCGAGCGACTGGATGTGGTTCACCACCGCAGGGCAGATCTCGACGTCATAGAGAACACAGAACGCGCGGTACGCCGCCACAAACCCTCCGCAATGCCGCGCCGGCAGCGGTAGCGGATCCAGCGGCGGAAGCAGTCGCCGCACATTGATGTCGACCGTGTACTCGGCCGGCCAGCCCAGCGTCACCGCGCGGAGCGCCGTGAGCAGCGCCTGTAGAAACTCACGGATCCGCGCAGGATGCGAGGCAAAGACCACAGAGTGCTGCGCCTGCAGCCAGAGAAGCCGGATATCGTCGGGATTGTGCGACTGGATGTGCGAGAGTGCGTAGAGTGGGATCTTGTGCAGGACGACGGGGTCAGCGCCAAGCTGGGGCAGCGACGGCTGGACCACAAAGAGCACAAACTCAAAGAGGACGGCAACCGCGCCGCCGGCGGCCTGCGAGTTGGCGTCGAGGAGCGAGACCCACTTGCAAAATAGCAGCTTTTGCTCCACCTTGAGCATCCGAGCCATCTGCTCGCCGGCCACGTACGCAATCGCCAGCTGGGTATCCGACTCTTCCATCGCGTAAACAGCGAGGCTGACCGGCGCTGCTGCCCGCCGCCGCGCCTTGCGCCGCGCCCGCCGAGCCGCACGGGCTGCCGCCACCCCACTGATGCTTCGAGAGGCCACACCAGCGCGTGAGGTCTCGCAGGAGATCTTAGCGTCGTCGTCAGAGTTGCCCGAGCCCAGGCCCGAGCCCGAGCCTGAGCCTGAGCCTGAGCCTGAGCACACTTCCGAGTTGGAGTCCGAGTCAGAGCCGCGGCCGCCGCCATCATCCCGCGGAGAGGCAAGCGGCGGCGACGGCGGCGGCGACTCGAGCCGTCGCCCGCTCGCATGCATGATGTCGGCCTTGAACCGGACCACGGCTTCGGGCGACGGCGCGTCCTGAGCACTTGCACCTGTAAGTGCAACGCCGTCCGAGCTGACAGGCGCTTCAACTAGGCTGCCGCTGCCAGTGCCAAGAGCCTGCGCTCGCGGCGAGCCAGCGTCGCCGGCGCCGGATCCGTGCGAGGCTGACGACGAGAGCTGCTCCCAGTGAACACGGCGCGAGGGCCTGGCAGGCGGCGGCGAGAGAGAGCGGGCAGGCGGAACCGGACCGGCCGGCGAGACGGCTGGAGAGAAGCTAGGCGATGACGGGATGGCGACGCGCGGGGCCGGCGACGGCGTGAGCGTGACGAAGTCGGGCTCTTCGGCATTGTCTTCGGCGTCGGAGCCGCGCGGTGTTGGCTGGGCCGAGGACTCGCGCGAGAGCGAGCATGTCGGCGAGTGGCCGCGGGGAGGATCAAGAGTGGCCGACGACGGGATCCATGTCTTGAGGCGCTCCTGCAGATGAATGCGTGTGGCGGCGACGGCAGCGGTGTCGAGATCATTTGTCCGGGCGACGTAGAGAAAGGAGTCGTGGGCGTCGCGGGTGGCAGCCACGTGGGCATTGAGCGCTTGCATCCAGTCGAGCATGTCGGTGTTGGAGCCTGCGCGGAGGTAGTAGTTTGGCCGCTGCGGCGAATGAATCTGGAAGCAGAACCGCTTGCGCATGTTTGTGGCCGGCATGACAATGACATCCTCGAGTGAAATGGGGACGTACGCGTCGTCGGGCGCGTCGGCGCTTGTCCGCCGCGCGTACTCAAAGACGCCGTCGGAGCGGAGGCGGAAGAACCGCTTGGCCCAGGTCTTAATCCGCGAGCCGGACCGCTTGGAGAGAAGGCCCTGCTTGATGATCCGCCAGGCGTGCGGGCCCGAAGCCGACGCCGACGCCGACGCCGACGCCGACGCGCCGTCGTCAGAGCCCGTGACGGGTGTAAGTGTCGACGAGAACGATGCAAACGAGGTCGACGACAGCGTGATGGTCGACGACGAGCCCGAGACGCCGCCGACCATCTCGAGCGGGTGCACGTGCCTGTGGCCCGACGACGAGTCAGAGCACGACTGCGAGGCTGAGCTTGTGGTGGTGCCACTCGAGTCAGTCTCGGTCGTGAGCGAGTAGTATGAGACCGAGGCCTGCCACGCCGGCGACCGCGACCGTGTCGATGGCGGCGACGACGGCGGTGATGACGCGCCTGCTACGTTGGTGAGCGAGCCCGACCGGGTGACCTCAGTGGTCTTGGCCCGAGCCAGCGCTTCGTTCTCGTCCTCGTACGTCGCCGACATGTCGTAGCCTGAGGCCGAGGCCTCCACGCTCCGTCGCGACCGGCCCCGACGCCTGCCTGGCGAGCGGGTGGTGATCCGCAGGTGGTCCGACGACTGGGTCTTGGCCTTGGCCTTGGTCTTGGCTTTGGCCTTGGCCTTGACCTTGGCCTTGGATCGTGTGCGCGCCTTGAACGAGAACGATGATGAGAGCGTGTCGTCGTCACCGTACTCGTCGTCGAGCTCAAAGTACTGCGCGCTGGGGCTGGTCTTGGTCTTGGTCTTGGTCTTGGCCTTGGTCTTAGCTTTGGCCTTGGTCTTGGTCTTGAGCTCGGGCTTGGTCTTGGCCTTGGTCTTGGTCTTGGTCTTGGTCTTGGTCTTGGCTTTGGGCTTGGGCTTGGTCTTGGCCTTAGTCTTGGCCTTGGCCTGGAATGATGACATGGTCTCGTCGTACTCGTCATCGGGATCGTCGCCAACAAGCGAGGCGGGTTTGAATCGCGAACGCACGTCGTCGTCGCCATCATCATCATTAGCATCAGCCAGCTCGTCGTCGTCGTCGTCGTCGTCGTCATAACACGCCGACTCATCCGCATCGACATCGCTCTCTGTGCGCGGTGACCACGAGTCCCCTACCGGGGCACGACGGCTGTGCGAGCGACCAACCGCGCGCCGAGGATACTCAACGTCCAGCAACAGCATAGATGAGTCGGGAGTGGGCGACGAGTCCGCCACAAGCGACTCGACCGTGGCTGGCGACTCTGGCGACTGCTGCTTGACCTTGGCCTTCAACTTGCGGTGCCGACGGGCATCTGAGCTGGGGCTGGGGCTGGGGCTGGGGCTGGGGCTGAGGCTGACGACGTCCTTAGCGTTGCCCTTGACCTTGGCCATAGACTGGGCCTTCTTGAGCTTGGCCTTGCTGCCAATTGACTTGGTCTTGATCTTGGCCTTGCGGCTCTTCGACTTTGACTTGATCTTGGACTTTGGCTTTGTCTTGGACTTGGACTTGTACGGAGCAGTAGTCGACGATGATGTTGGTGACGGCGTTGGAGTTGTGGTACGAGCATGAAGCGGAGACGGAGACCCCGAGCTAACCATAATCAGCGGACGAGTTGACGACGTCGATGAGTACGGTGGCCCTGATCTTGTTCCCGCTGCTGTTGTTGATGAGCCTGCTGCTCTTGCTGCACTTGCTGCACTTGCTGCACTTGCTGCACTTGCTGCACTTGCTGCACTTGCTGCATCTATTGCTGTTGGAAGAGACGATGACAGCACTGTCTCTCTCTTCTTGCCCTTGCCCTTCATCATCTTCTCCTTGCCCTTGCCCTTGCCCTTGCCCTTGCCCTTGCCCTTGCTCTTGCCCTTGCCCTTGCCCTTGTCCTTGCCCTTGCCCTTGTCCTTGCCGTCTCGTCTCCCCCGTCTGTTGCCTTCCATGTCCACCTGCCGTTCCGCCAAAGCTCTGTCCACCACAGACACGAGTCAGAAGAAGGGAGGGAGGTGGAGAGGGGGTGTATACGTCACACCTCCTGGTAATTGCCCAGGACAGGTGGTGTTATATGCCTCTTTGTCTATGGGGGGGGGGGTTGGGGGGGAGGGGGGGTGACCGACAGGATCCTGTTCCGATCCAAGCAGACATGCCACGTCAAGGTGAATGGGGGATCATGATTAATTAATGGAGAAATAATCGTAGGTAGGGCAGAGGACGACAGGTGCCCCCATAATGGTTGGTGCCACGTGGGAATCGCTCGCTTGATTTCTATG